TTTTGTAAATGTCATAGTAGTGCTAGCTCCAAAACATCAAGAGAATCCAAACATATCAAGCTATGTTTCGAGGTGGGTACATTTGTGTTTAGTGAAAATAATGCAGCTAACTTAGCAAGTTTTAGACTGTACTATGATGGTATTCATTTGCCAAAATAAGGATGATTGATTATTTCCAAAAAGGCAGCAAATATTACATATGAGCGGCAAAGCTTATCTACCTGTTACTCTTCTTCATTAAGAAATCACATCGATTCAGAGACTGAATTCTCAATTGATAACGAAATAAGAATTATCTGAGGAGGTAAATATTAAGATAGAAAACATATTTATTACCTAAAAGATTACAAAAACTATCTGAAAACAACTCATAATAACAAATTTCCAAAAGGAAATTCACTCAATACAAATTGTTTATTGATATAATTGGTTTTGTTTTAACCAAGTGATATTCGAATTTTAAATTTAATCTTAGAAAATTTAAAAGATTTATTATTATGAAAAGGAGAAAATCTAATCTTTATTTCTATAATTTTGAATTTTAATTAATGGAAATAAGACACTAAATATTAATTGCATTAGTTATTTTTCTGGAATAATTATGTAAAAATTAAAAATAAAATACTCATCAAACAAGTCTTAATGAATAACAGATGTTGAGTAACCTGTTAGATGAATTTATCACAGTGGATGAGGAATTTTAGAAAAATTAGTGATAATAGTTTTTTCATGGTGCTGATTAGGAGCATTGCTTGTTTAATTTGGAAAATTCTTTAAATAATTAAGTGATTAATTGATTTATATTATCGCATTAATATCATTCTATGAACTGAAAAATCTTAATTAATAATAATAATGATAATACTCTTTAATATACTCTACACAACTCATCAAGCTGTGATTTATGAGTTGAATATTAATTCTAACACATATGAAGGCAATTTCTGTAATTTCTTCTATATGGGGAGGTAGTTCTAATTAAAATACTTGTGGAGGAATTCAATATTTTGGGTTTCCTAATGGTAACTATTAAATTATAATGAATTAGATAATTTCTATCATAACAGAATTTTTTTGACATAGAGCCTCATTCTCATCTTATAGTGGATGCTCAATTTCTAAGGTATTTATTACTCTTAATTACAAAAGTATTGATAAAAATATTCTACCATCTTTATAATTGGACAAAAGAATATCGGATTCAGAGAAAATTATTTCATCTTAAGGTTTGATATGTTTTGATTCAGAGCTACTATTTCTATTGTTCTATAGGATAATAGAAGACCTATTTTTATGAGGATTATTAAAAATTATGGAGGATTAATTTCATTAAAATTTAGTATCATTTGTTAG